CCCCCCCCCCTGGGGAGGGAGCACGGAGACTCTAAAGTCAACTTCGGCGAAAAGAACGTTCACTTTCCCATCAGGCCCAAGGATTCCGTCCACCGCGTCCCCTCTTGCCAGCCAGAACCCAAAGCAGAGGAGGAAAACCGCCGGCTTGGGCGACCGGACCAGACTCTGGATAAATGTCGCCCCTGACACCGGAGGCGCCATCATGCCAGAGGCTGAAGAGAGACACGGTCAGACTGGCGCCTGCCAGCAAAGGGGTGGGGACGTGACCCCCGGTGGCACCCACGGCCGCCCTCCGGCCCCAGGTCACTCACTTTCTTGAGATACCAACTGAGGTGCCTCACCTCACTTCACACGAAGGGACAACGTGCTCAGGGAGCCCTCCTCCTTCCCTGCTCTCAACACCCCTCTCCCGTAGTCAGCTCTCAGCCCAGATACCTCTACAGTGCATGCAGAGCCCACGTCCTCAGACGTGTGCACACATTCCCACTTCCTGTCTGAGACTCCGGCTCCCTCCCTGTCGGAATCAAAGACAGCCCTTCAAGAGCCACCACCTCCAGGAAGCCTCCCTGACTGCCCTGGCCTCACATCCCATGGCCGCCGTACCCCTGACTGTACAGGCCACGTCACTCACGGGGCACGAAGTACCATGCACCTCCTCGCCAGAGAGCAGGCTGGCAGGGAGAGGGCCACCCCGACCCCCATCCTCTGATGGGGATGCCTGACAGAGGCTGCCGAGTGAGATCCTGGCGGGCAGAAGCGTGCCCTCTCAGGCACAGTCAGCCCCAACCACAGGGGCCTGTCTCCGTCACAGCTGGAAATACCCCCATGGGCTCATGCGCCCCCCTCCCCCTCCCAGCTCAGCCCCACAGCTGCCCCTACCTCCAGGCAGGCTTCCCTGCTGGCCTCCCCCAAGGCCAAGTGCTCCCAACCTCCCAGCCTCCTCTGTCCGTGTACCAGGCCCCCAGCATATCTTCTCCCTCTAGACCCCACACTCGTGGGGAGCACCCCAGCCCAGGGTGAACCCTCCACGGGAAGCTGGCTCACCGCACATGAGCTCATCCGAGCCGTCGATGCAGTCAGGGAAAGAATCACATTGCTGCTTGATGAGGACGCACTGGCCACTGGCGCACCGGAACTGGTTGGGCAGGCAGACGGCTGCAGGGGGAGGGCTTGCGCTCAGAGAGGCTGCAGGGCGTGATGCCGCCAGGAGGGCGAAGTGGACAGCCGCCAACCAGCGCTTCCCGCCCCGCCCCCGAGACCCAACAGAAAGGTCTGGGTTCCAAACGCAGAATGGACAAACGGGACTCTTTCTAGGATGGGTTCAGGGAATGGTCACAGCAAATCCGGTCTCCACCCTCCCCTCGATGACCCCTATTCCAAGGTCTAGGCACGGCTGGCAGGGAAGGGACCTCAGTGACTCCCAGGAAGTACTTATCAGGCTCCTACCACGGCTCAGGCCCATGCAGAGCTAGGACTAACACAGCCCCTGCCCCGAGGCTCTCCTGAGTTATGGGGAGGTGACAGCCAACTAGAGGAATGACCTAGAATGGGTGGGAGCAGGGGCAGGTGATATCTCAGCAGAGCTCCCAGGGTGGAGGATTAGGAGGGGGGAGCAGGGCTCAACCAGGAAGGAAAAGGCAGCTCACGGCCTTTTAGACTAAGAGGAGGAAGGCTGGGTATGGCCTGTTTCCCTCGTGTTCCAGAATGCCAACCCAGAAGGAGCTACCGTTGCAGAGGAGGGCACTGCCCAGGGGACTCAGCCATCGCCCACCCCCAGTGCTTGCTATCCAAGCTCTCCAGCTACCCTGCCCCACCCCAAGCGCCCCTCCCTGGGAGCCGGAGATGAGAGGACCCTGTCCTCGCAGTGGGTGGGACAATTTGTTGGTAACAAAGGAGAGGAAGCTTCTGAAAGAGAAGGTGCAGCCCAGAGCCCGAACTAGGGCGTGCTGTGGGTGCTGCATGTTGCTCCCAGAGAAACATTACAGGGGGAGAGGCGGGGGGACGGTTCCCAGCCAGGGCTCCTGCCATCCTCTGAGACGGCCACCTAAACACTCGTGCTAGGGCAAGGCTGTATGGCTCGGCTCAGCAAACGTCTCTGCAAAGGGCCAAGCAGCACGTATTCAGGCCTTGAGGGCCACGGGTCTCTATCGTTTTAGTGCAAGTAAACAAGGGAGCCTGGCTGTGTTCTCACGCAACTTTACGAAACCTGGTGGTGGTCTGGATCTGACTCTCAGGCCGCGGTTTGCCAACCCCTGGCCTCCCACCTCCATCAAATTCTCGGAGGGTCCATAAGCTGCAAAGACTTAACATCTGCGGCTGTACAGGACCAGCTGAGGAGATGAGCCCCCACCCCCGGGCCTTCATCTTCCGTAAACGGCTGCTCATCACGAACGGGGAGAGTAGACGGTGATCCACCAGTTGTGGGTTATCTCACAACAGCAGCCGGTGGCTACGGGGGAGGCAGAGCAGCCCATCGACAGCTCGGCGGCAGTCGTGGGGCCGTGGTGCTGACGCTCTGTGGCACGAAACCACTGAGCATGTCGTTTATAAAAGGGAAATTCAGAGAACGCCCAGAAACAGAGGTTAACGTTAAACAGAGGTTAAGACCTCACTGCTAAGGTCTAAAGGAAGATCCTGCTGGTCAGAGTGGACCGAGATGACTGAAGCACATCTTTTTGTCACATTCGGCTCACCGGGTTGCTAGAAACCACCCAGGAACAAGCATTATCCCACAGACTGCTCTGTGGAGGGCAGCGCTGCCTTTGGGGACGAGTATTTATCCACCTGACTACTGGATTTGCCTGGGGTTTTTGTGAAACTCTTGAGCCAGGGGCGGAAGGCAAGTGACTCTCCCAGCCTGCCTTCGAGCCAAACTACTTGGCAGGACAGGGTGGGTGGCAAAGTTTTCCTCCGTAGGCCTACGAATAACATTTTCCTCTCCCAACCTGAGGATTTAGCGATTTCGCTCGGGACAAACGTTCTACCCTACTCTTGCGTGGCCAGCCTGGGTTCCCGCTCCGGGAGGACGACAGGGCAAGTGGCTTGCAGGGGGTGGGAGAATCTCAGGAAGGGGGCAGCCAGGATGAGGCCGGGGAGGGCGG